TTTATGTAGAAAATGTCTCTATTAAGTCTTTTATTAACCCTATATGCCAAGATAAAAAATCATATTTCTTCTCCTTTGGCATTAATTCTAGTTGCTCAAGTTGGCCTACAGAGTACTATCCATAAACTTAATTTTCCTTTAATATTGTATTCATTTTCACAATTTAAGGGCAAAATAAATAAATACAAATTATATCAATAACTAATGTTATTATGACCCTGTCTCTACAAAATACTCAAAAATCTTTTCCTAATCATTAGTATTTTGAAAAATTAAAACTGACAATGAAACTTTTAATAACTAAACCCAAACTATCTTAAAAGCTGAACATGTAATCATTTCTTTAAGAAATCAATGATTTTTTTCCTTTAAATTAAGTAAAGCAGAGATTACAAACTTAACGCCTTCAGGGTCTAAACAAGTGGTTCAAGTCTCAAACATTAGGAAGGGTAGAGTGGCAGAAACTAGGTCACATGTTCCATCCAGAGACGTGTATATTTTTCTTTCTGAAAATAATGAGCTTGCCAAATAACAAAGTCACATGGGATAAATTCTGACCCATGCCTGCTTCCATTTAATTCCCAGAGTTAATATATCCATTGGTATATGATACATACACTGAGGTTCATGTATGACATTTTAGATACACCTCCTTGGTAAGAATAAAAAAGTCAGCTGAGTGGGTAACAGGGAGATAGATAGTAAAACTTCACCTTCTTCTTCTCCTCTCAGCTTGAGATCTAAAATTCCAAAAGGCAGAGCAGGGGATTCACAGAAGAAAATGATATGGGTTCTACGTGGGTCTAACTTGAAATACTTGGCTAGGAAACATGACCTGAGATGTTTAGTATGAGGTAAAAATCTTCAAAGAAAATAATGCAAACACCAACAGAAAAATATTTTTTGATTTTTGGGAAACGAAAAGCCATGTTACTTATCTTGACTGAGGTACTGGTTACAGAAGAGCACACATTTTTCAAAAATCATTTTGTACACCTTAGTTAATTCCAATGTATATAAATTTTTCCTTTGGTTGAAACATTGACTTTTGGATATATCATAATTAAGATCAAAACAATATACATTAAAAAGGCAAAATAAGAGAACTGAGGATATGAAATGTTTTAAATTTTATCTCATGGAATGTGAAGATATCATTTTTTTTCTTTCTGAATCTAAAATAGCATGTTTACACAACCATTCTGAAAAAGTATGGTTTACTAAAAAAACACACACACACAATATATAACACCTGTATCAATTCACACAAGATAGTTCCTACAAGGAGCTGTGCTACAATTATGGTTCAAAAGTAACATGTGAAGATTATCAATTTTTTCTTTCTGAATCTAAAATAGTTAAGTTTAAACAAGCATTCTGAAAAAGTATGGTCTATTAAAAAAGAACACACAATAAATATATAACACCTGTATCAATTCACACAAGATAGTTCCTACAAGGAGCTGTGCTACAATTATGGTCCAAAAATAACAGAAAATGTCAGAAATAAACAATTCATAAGTTTAAAATTATATACTGTTCTAAGTAGCAAGATGAAGTCTTGTACAGTCCCCCACTCTGACATGCCTGATGTGAATCAACCCTTTGTCCAGCATTTCAATGCTGTGTTAATCCCACCCAATCCCGTCATTAGTAGTTGTCTCGGTTATGAGATCAAGAGATCACATTACTACAGTGCTTGTGTTCAAGTAATCCTTATTTTACTTAATGGCCCCAAACTGCAAGAGTAGTGATAAAGGGGGAGAGGGAACAACTTTAACAATTGTTACAAATGCTGAAAAGGAATAGTACCAGGCACAATGAAAGCTAGTGCAGTCAGTGAGGAGTCTGTGGTCAGTGAAAGCTGACAAGAAATTTAAGATTTATAGGACAAAAGCGAGCAAGTGAGATGAAGAAAGGAAAACATTTTAGGAACATTTTAAAACAAATGACATGTGTGAGGATTCCAAGATGAGAAATAAGATTTAAGCAGGGCAAACAAGGATTTAAGCAGGGTAGTTACGTGATCACATTTGTGCTTTAAAATAATAACTGGGGTGCTGGGGTTGTGGCTCAGTGGTAGAGTGCTTGCCTGGCATGTGTGAGGCACTGAGTTCTATCCTTGGCATCACATAAAATAAATAAATAAATAAGTGTGCCATGTCCATCTGCCAAGAAAAAAAATCTTAATATAATAAAAATAACTGAGATAAATATGGAAAACTATAGAGTCTAATGAATGTTAAGACTATTTATACTGAAAACTCCAACAAGACAGAAATGAAGGTAAATTGGTCTTAGCTAATAGACTTATGAAACCAAGGAAAAATTGTAGATCCTAGCAAGAGATGATATAGATATAGAGGCTGAAGTAACTGATAAGAAAATAATTCCTGGGTTCAGTAATGAACACTTGAAATGATAGTAATTATGATTTGGACATGCCAAGTCCAAAGTAACCTAGAAAACAATGAAGGGAATTATCAACTAGATAGATGAATTTATGAATCTGAATCTCAGAAAGTGAGACTATAAAAATAATTTGGGAATCATCTGCAGAGGCACAAGGATCTACGGTAGCGAATGAGGTGAAGACTGTGCACTGTGAGAAGAAAATCTAGGATTAAGTCTGAAGAATCCAGCTGTTTAGAGGCTGGGGCTGAGGCTCAGTGGTAACGTGCTCACCTAGCATGTGTGAGGGCCTGGATTCGATCCTTAGTACCACATATAAAAAAGTAAAGGTATCGTGTCCACTTACAACTAAAAAAAAAAAAAAGAATCCAGCTGCTTAAGGAATGGATGAAGAAGAAGAAGCAGAGAAAGACCAGGAGAAGAGGCTAAGAAGAAATAGGCAGAAGGTAAGAAGCATTCCGAGTGTTTTGTCACAATAATCAAGAATCCCACATGGAGAAGAAAAATATGGTCAACTTTGTCAAATGCTATTGGGGGAAAAAAATCAAGAATGAAGATTAGCAGTGATATTTGCATTCAGAGATGTACAGATTTCATGGTGATCCTAGTAAGGGCAAAACTGAATAAAATATTTGAGGTAGATGCTTAACTGGAACATATACAAAGTGAATGAAAGATGAAAAAAGAAAGATAGCCAAGTGTCAACATTTGTCATGAAACATTAAGCTGTGAATGATAGATGAATGTCCTTGGGAGATGGCAGTTCATCTGAAAATTAAGCGGAATTTTATTCTGAGGGTATGAATGGCTTAATTATGTCCAATGCTGACGAATAAGATCCAATAAAAAAGGCAGAATCCCCCAATACAAGATTCCAAATGACACAAAAACAGGTAAACAACTGACCTTAGACAGGAAAGGAGAAAACATCCTGTACTAACACAGGAAGAAAAAGAGAAACACAAGAGGGGAGAAAATACATGTAAAGTTGTAGATTTAGTATCATGAAATAAACAAAGAACTCTGTTTTCTCTTAGAGGCCGAAGGCAAGATCATTGAGGGGAGCTAGAGGTTTGCAGAAAAATAATTGGTATAGCAAGGTAAGCAGAGAAAATGTGAAACTGCTGGGCAGTGTGGAGGGTTCACTGCAGGTCTGTACAATGGACCAACAGTAGCACTGGCCTATATTCCAGAAGAAACATAGGCAAGTCACTAGGTTTATCCAGTGCTATGGAATTACCACAATGGTTTGATTAAAAAAAAAATGATGGAACAAAAAATATTGCCATTAGTTAATTTGTATTGAGCTTGTTACCATAGGCCAATCCTTTTAAGTGCTTTACACGAATGGCTTATTTAAGACCCATCATTACCCTATCCCCAATTGGCACAATTTTTTTTTTTTTTTCATTTTATAAATGAGAAAGCTAATGAATTGTTTAACCATGGTCAAAAAGAGGTAGAACCAGGACTTAAGGTTTTGAGGTTTCACTGCACAAAAAGGAACTGAAAAGAGATTTTTAAAAACATGAATATATATAATAAAAATCTTAAAATTCTTCATCAATATCAATAGAGCAATAGACCATGAAATCACAAATAGTTTTTTTATCTTAATGTTTGATGGTTGGTATGGAATTTAAAGACTTACCAAATCAAAAATTTCAAGACCAGCAAGTCAACTTATTTATTTCACATTTATATGCCAGTCAGTATGTTTTCACATGCTATCTCATTTATCCTCGAAATGATAACAAAGTGAAACCATAACTTGACAAGCAAAGAAATCCTCAGAAAAGATAAGTAATTTGTTATACCTTTTATTACATTCCTGAAAAATACAGTGGCCTCTCACTGACCCCTTGCCACTAAGCCCTTACTAAACCACTGGTAAATGGCTTGAGTGAATTCACTCAGCAGACCAAAAAATGTCACAGCTACTGATTCTCATTAGAAATTCTTTCCAAAACATTGCTTTATTTTATTAAGTAAAAGAAACTAGAACAAGCACTTATATTTCTACATTGCAACTAAAAATCAGAATTAAAAAAGAAACTGAACATAAAAAGAGAGTAAAACCTTAGAAGAGCGTCATTGTGTTCAAATTCCAAATATAAACACTGAATAATCAGAAAAGTTATTGGACTTATTAATTCTGCAGTAATATAATAATTAAACTAAAAGAATCTAGATTTATTCTGAAAAATATTTACATTAATATGACATTTGTGTCACTGAAGACATATACTTGAGTTTTAAAAACTTATAGAAGAATATTCATCATTTAACCTTTCTTAAGAGATGTTATATTTTTTGTTTTGTTTTTCACAAGTGCTAAATATTATGAAAAAAAGTTTAAGTCATTCTCCTTCAGTTTTCCATTTTAACAATTCAGTAACTATGGGAAAATTTAAGATTTTTCACTCACATAGGCTAAGGTTGGTCCTTACAAAAGAAATACTAATTAAGAAACAAACAACAACAACAAAAAACACCTTCTACACTGAGATGCACCATTCAAACTAAAATTTAACAAAATCACTGTTCTGAAATGTTTTCTTAAAGAATAACAAAAAAGCTGTCCTTACCATATACATTAGTATGTCTCTAATCATCACCATAGCTGTTTGATGATCATTCCAAGCTTGATTTAGTGTTTGAAGAAAGTTGTTATTCAATGAATTTAGTACATCTTCTCGCACCTATTAACAGAATAGTTCATCAGTTTGTTTATGTACACACATACAGATTCTCATAAACATGCACATATATTTGTTAATAATGGAATATAATTCTTAATTTTAAAGCAAAGAAATATGTTATAGGCCAGTAGAAATATTTTATACTATCACCTATACAGAGATGATTATCAAGTGTGTATGTAGACTCCCACTTTCTCTCTTGACTTCCAGAATCATAAAGCAACCTCTGGGAATTTCTCAATTCACAAAGGCTTACATGGTCAGAATAAAATCCTACATTCTTATCATGAACTACGATACAAGGCCCTAGAGCTGGTTCCAACTAAATTTCCTACTATACTTTCTCGTCCCCCACCTCTGAATAATAGCTAAGCGTACTGATTTTGGAATCAAACCATCTGACTTCTAATTTTAGCTCTGACAAGTTGTGTAATTTTGGATAAATTATTTAATCCCTGGACCTTGGTTTCCTTATATGTGAAATAGTATCCTTTTTGTAGGTTTGTTATATGGATTTAATTGATGCTAGTAATGTATTCAGCACAGTTCTAGCATTCAGTAAACAATCAATAAACATAAACTACAAATAGCAACTGTGTGGTTTGACATTTTTTTCTGCCTCAATTTGCATGGCTATCTCTCAGGATGGTCTCATCCCTGGATGCTCTTTTTCAAATAACCCCTATATACTTCTTTATCCTACACTTCATTTCTCTTCACAGTACACATCATTAACTACTATACTATGTAATGCTGATTCCTGATTATTTTTAAGCCACTGATAACATTCATCCACTAAAATCTGCTTTAGGAGAATAATACCTAGTTGTATCATATTTTCAAAGCACCATAACAATTCAAAGACAACGGTTATGTTATAGTGAAAAAAACAAATCATCTAAAAAGTTTAAGCAACTGCCAACCTGACTAGAAAAGCATGATTTGTAAAATAAACTGGTGACATAGACTATCAAAAATCAAAAACTTTTGGTCTACAGACACTGTCAACACAGAAAAAGTAAAGCTACAGATGGGATAAATTGGACTTCATCAAAACTACAATCTTTTGTTCAACAGACAATGTGCATACTAAAAAAGAGAAGCTACAGACTGGGTGAAAAATCAACTCACTTGTATTCAGAGTTTTTTTTTTTTTTTTTTTTTTTTTAAGTCTTAAAACTCAGTAAAAAAAAGGAAACAATTAAAAATGGGTAAAGATTTGAACAGACACTTCACCAAAGAGGATATAGAAAAAGGCAATTTTGTACATGAACAGATGGTTCAAAAACATTAGCCATCAGGAAAATGCAAATTAAAAACATGATGAGACACTACTATACACCCATTAGAAAGGCTACAATAAAGTAAGCTAAACAACATGAAGTGTTGGCAATGATTTGATGCAAAAAAAAAAAAAAAAAAACCATCCTGTGTTGCTGATGTAAGCACAAATTGGTACAGTCTTATGAGAAAAGTTTGACAGTTCTTATGATATTAAATATATACACTTAACCTATGACCCAACATTCTACTTCTATGTATTTACTCTGTAGAAAAAACTTATATTCACACAAAAACATGTAAACAAATATTTATATCAGATCTATCCACAATCACAAAAAGCTACATATATAAAAAATGATAAGAAAACTGTGGTGCGTTCATACAACAGAATGTCATTCAGCCATAAAAAGAAACAAACTAGTGATACAACTTAATCTCAAGGTAATTACGCTGAATGAAAGAAGCCAGTCTCCAACGGTTTAAAAACTATGATTCTACTTATATGATGTTCTGGAAAACACAAAACTTTTATGACAAAGAATAGAGCAGAAGCTGCCAGGAACAATGGAAAGATATCACAGGGAAGTGAGATGAAGGAAATGATCCATATTCAGTGTGATTGTAGTTACATGAATCAATACACAAGCTAAAACTCAAAAGAACTATTCATGAAAATAAAGGATTAATTTTTTTAAAACTTTCAGTAATTATGATTCTCAAGTTGGGCCCTGCTTTGTTATTATCATAATCATTAAACTACGATGCCACATGATTTGTTCATAAAAGAAACTTGAATGTCAATGACAGAATTAAGTAATTTAAGAGTATCAACTCTATGAACTACTCTGCAACAGTTCAAATTTGCATACTACATTCTTCACTTCTGTGAATACAGCTTTTCTTGCATTTTCAAAATTAGGTGCTTAGCAAACATTAAAGTGAAATTATTAAATCAAAAGAAAATTTTTATTTTTTATGGCATAATAAAATCTTGTCCACTGATAAATTAAAGCCCAAGCTATAAGACCCACATCCTCAAAACAAACTACTGGTAAAGGGAAGAGAATGAGGGTTAGCAAGAAGGATGAAAGTAGAGGGAGGACAGCAGGCATGAGCATGACCTGGAACTATAGGTTCCCACTTGAGTTTTCACATCCAAGTGTATCCATAGACTGAAGCTGACCCTGCACCTGCAGCCTTAGGATAGTTGCAAAGCTGAAGGACATAATAACATGCACCATACATCCTACCTTCCAAAACAACTTTAACCATTAATAGAAACATTTTAACACTTTAAGTTTCAGTGCCTAGAGCAAAATCTCAGTGAATTCTAATAAAATGTTGAGGTAAGATGAAAACTAATTACCTAAAATGAATTATAAAGACTTTTTTTATTCTAAAGTTTACTAAAACTAGAAGAGTCATAAAACCAATGATGATGTGGAATACTGAAAACTGAGGAATTTCTCCTTAAAAAGACTCAAAACTGAAGACAATAGTTAGTGAAAATATAGATCCATCATCAGGCACTAAAATACAGTACTTCATACTTATCATAATGTTGCACTGAAAAATATAAACCATGTATTAAAAACATAAAATGGGGCATTAATAACATAAAACACGTGCTCATTATACAAAGAACATCATTAGAAAGTACAACAGGGGTTGGGAGATATCTTAGTGGTAGAATGCTTGGTTAGCATACCCAAGGCCCTGTGTTTCATCCCCAGCATTTAAAAAAAAAAAAAAAAAAAGTCATAAAGAAAAAAAGTATAAAGAGTTACCATAATTCCAAGAGATGTGTCCTTCTAGAAACATACAATGCTTTAACATTCACCTAAAAGCTAGAATAATCAATATCAGTATCTGCAGAAAACTGCAACCAGGACAATTACTAACCAAGACAAAGTCACTTAAACCTATCTATCTGTAGTAATTTTTACCTGTAATATGATTGTGTTTGATTAGATCAATGATGTTCATTTCACATCACGTTCCACTGAGATGCCTCTTTTAACAGACCACAGGGAAGGCTGTTTCTCCTGATTAAATGACTTATATTGGTTTTGTAATAGGAAATTTAAAAGGGGGGTTTCTGCCGTTTTAAAATAACTGAGAGACACTGGATGCCTGTTAAGTACCTTTCTGGACCTGTCTTCTAAAACATGTTGCCTGTTTCACATATGAAGTCAATTTAAAACACAAATATGCCATCTTTTTAAGAAGAAGAAAAATTTAGTTACAGATTGACTTGATACCTTTATATTTTACTTATTTTTATGTGGTGCTAAGGATCAAACCCAGTGCCTCACATGTGCTAGGCAAGTACTCCACCACTGGGCTATAACCCCAGCCCCAAATATGCAACATTTACCATGATCTTCCAAAGAGTATTTGTTTCTACTTACATTTACATTTGAGTCCTGTGTTAATTATGTGGTACATAATTTTGTCACCTTCACAAGTTCTGCTAGCTACGCAAATCTTATTTTTTCAAGGAATGCTATTAAATAATTCTAAAAGATCTCAAAAAGTTATTCACTTTATCACTCCAGGGTGGTATGACACCAACCTAACAATTAAAATGACTTACTATAGAAGTGAATCTTAATGGGAGTCAAGTCATGGAGTATAGAGGCCATCTCTTCCAATCTGACACAGTTTGAAAACAGGTCCACAGCCCTTCCCCTCTCTCTAAGAATTCTTGATTTAAAAAGTTGAAAATAGTGTTGTAATGTTTTGCTACTTATAGAAGATAGCATATATGTTTCTATATCAATATTCATAAATTGTGAATAATGGCAACACAGGATAATGAATGCTTGTAAAATGTTAAAGAACAGAAATTTATACATGACTGGAAGGAACACTTCTACTTCATACTCTGAAAGTTCTTAACGTAGCCAACTTTCAATTATTTGTATATTCAATATAAATGTGGTAAATACTGTCGCTCTCATACTACATTACTACTTTTAGATTTCTGTATTACAAAGCAAGTTTCTTCCTGTGTTTTGTTAATATTTTTAAACTTTCCAAGTATTTACTAATGGCGAGACTCATGAATGATATAAATTTTACTGGTATTTGCTAGATTAACAATATTATTCCCATTATTTTTCACTAGCTTTAAGAATAGGGTGGGGACTGAGGTTGTGGCTCAGAAGTAGAGCAGTCGCCTAGCATGTGTGAAGCCCTGGGTTCAATCCTCAGCACCACATAAAAATGAATAAATTAAATAAAGATATTGTGTCCAACTAAAAAAATTTAAAAAAAAAGAATAAGGGTGGTAATCAAAGAAATCATACTAGTATCCATAATAAAACAGTAAGAGCTATTACAAGGAAAAATATTTTTTTCCTAACTGCTGTCAGAAGTTTTTTTTTATTTAAGCAATTTCACAGATGTACACAGCAATATAATTTTTACGGACTTTTACAAAAAGTACACTATTTTGAATTTCAAAAACAAATATTCCCCACTTTCACTGTTTGCTCTAAGTGTCCAATTTAATTGCTTCCAACAAGCAAAGCAAGGTGCTAGGCACGGAGGATACAAGAGGCATTTAACCACTTTATCTCCTTTACCAGGAATAGGGGGATCCTAGTATTAGCATTCATATGACCTCAAAAATAGCATGAGATTGAAAACAGAGGCACAAAAATGGTGTTAGGATAACACATTTTCATAATTCACTACATATGAGGACAAGG